GGTCTTTGGTCTATAAATATAACTATAACGTCATCATCATTATTACTGTTGCCCCTATTATTTTTTATATCGTTACCATTACATACATTTCAATACTCTCCAACTTGACCTACATTGTATTTTTTCATCTTCCAGATTCATTCCCTTCCGACCCCGGCTCGACCTTGACTTTGCCCACGGGTTCTGCACCAGGTCCCTGGGGGGACACGGCCGCGCCTCGGACACCGTCAGTGACCAGTCGGACCACGACGGAGAGGAAGAGGGGTCAGTGGCGGGTCCAGCAGCCAGCAGTCTACGTGGCCAGACGGAAGACTGGAAGCAGTACCGGCGACAGCTAGACCAGGCGTTTGGACACAGCCCGGGGGCTCCTGTGTTGCCACTCTCTCCTACCTGGTACATGTGCTTGGTGGTTGGCGGGTGCTGCTGTGGTCTCATACCTGGTACTGGTGATATGGGTGGTTGGTGGGGGCTCCTGTGTTGTCGCTCTCTCTTACCTGGTACTGGTGCTGGGTTGTTGGCGGGTGCTCCTGTGTTGCCGCTGTCTCCTACCTGGTATAATATGTGCTGGGTGGTTGGCGGGTGCCTCTGTGTTGTCGCTCTCTCCTACTTGGTACTGGTGCTGGGTGGTTGGCGGGTGCTCTGGTGGGGTTTGATCCTTCTGGTGTAGTGGGGTTCTTCTTTTCTTCTCAAACTTCCATAGTCTTTATTACATCCTCTTTTTTCTTTTCTTTGTGAAAATGGTACAATGGTATAGGTTTAACGCCCCTATCAACACTGTTATGTTATTTAAGAGGCGGTACCTCCGAAAGGACCGAGCCAAATGGAAAATTAGTGTAAAGTGCATTTCCCAAGAACACAACGTCGGACCGAGCTGAGGCTCGAACCCCCAAACCCGCAATCTCGCGATTATGAGTCCGGTAGCCTTACCAATAGGCTACCGACGCCTCTTTTCCTTGAATCCCACTCTCTTGTAACACATCTCATCTTTGGAACTTATGTGACCTATTTGTGTGGCTTTCTTTTTTTTTTTTTTTTGCTGCAGTACATGTTTTACGGCGCTCGCAACTGCATTAGGTCATATGAGTGCGCAAGTGCTGTTAAACTAAACTAAAGTAAACGAAACTGAACACCTTGCAAGTGCCGTAAAACGTTTATTGAAATGTAAAAAGGGGTTGGGTCTTTTGTTGTTTTTTTCTGCTTTTTTTTTGGGGGGGGGGGGGTTCTTTTGTTTAGTTTGTTTTCTTTTTTTTAAACACAGGCGTGACCACAACTGGCAGGGCGCGGACTTCTCATTCTCAAAGGTCACTAGGAGGTCAGACCAGTCTGGACCCTGTTTGTATAACTCAGGGGTGACTTCCTGTAGGCAAGTACCACGTGACCCTGACAGAGTTCTCGCCCTTCCCGGTATACAAGACAACTTTTACTGCAAGTAAGTGGACAAGGGCTTTCCTTGCAGCACGGGAGAACCCAGTCCGAATCTGTCTTTTAGTGCAGGAAATGATGTGGATAGGGGAAGGAAGGGGGATCGATGGAGGAGAGGGGTGAGGGTGTTTTGGGGGAAGTGTTTCAGGGGAGGCGCTCTGGGGGGAGGTGGATGTCTCTTGCTTTGTAATGTAAAGGTCCTGAGTTCTATCGAAATAACTAGTGGTTGGAGGGCGCCACTGCCGGTCTCTTTCTTTTCCCCATCCCTGTGTCGATGTGCTTCTCTTTAATCAACAAACAAAAAATCCCCCCTCCGCCCTCCCCTTCTCCCCCCCCCCACTTCCCCCAATGGGCACTGCCACTGACTGAAGTGTCTTTAGGCCATTCCCAAAGGGGATATATTAACATGTTCTTGCGCACAGCAGAATTGTAAATGAGCTGATTTATCAATGCCATGCTCATACTGTGCCGGAACAACTTAGGGGGAACTGCTGGTTTTTCTTTCCTCATCCTTATTATCGTCATTTTCCCTCTACTTTTTTGTATTTTTTGGTCACTCTCTTGTGAACTGCTATTTCCGGGGTGCTTTGATAGTCGAAGCCTAAGCAGACTTTGTGCTGTTGAGGCTAGAGAGGTGAGCAGAGTAAGCCTGATTCCCCGTTTGGACTTCTCTGTTGACATCCACCCCCTGGCGCTCATATGGCCTTATGCAGTTGCAAGCGCCATAAAACCTTACTAAAGGAAGTGGCTATTCTCACCCTGTCACCCTGTGTCTTGCTATTCTCACCTCCCAGGTGTGCTATAACACAGATACACACAAGAATAACTTATAAGTTGTACAGACCCAGATAAGTTTCAGGTTTTGTTTATTTAATAGGCTGGGTGAAGGCCATTTCACACCATGACCAGCAAACAATAGTAAAAAAATTAATAATAAATAACAAGTTACTCTAGATCTAGATCTATCGTTATAATAATATGCAAGAACGAATTGTCAAGAGCAGAACGCATCTGATACGTAGATCTTCCAATACTCACAATTATAGCCTACTTTTAAGAAGGCTATTTGATTATTTTTTTTATATTAAGACGATCTATGGCAACGGTAATCAGTAGTTGGCCTGGAATATCTAGATCTACATGAGGAAACATGCCCACACCGGGGTGGGGGTGAGAATAACGGGTGAGTTATTCTCATCAGGGGTGAGAATATAGGTGGCCCTTACTAAAACTAACTCTCTCTCCCCCTCTCCCCTTCCCCAGAGGACTGGACTGGGGTTCCCACAACAGTATAGCGGCGGCCCTGGGCAGTAGCACGTGCGTGTGGTCACCTCACACCCGACTCACGGCCCGACTGGACGCCCGGGACGACCACCACGGCCGCCAAGACAGCAGTCACGTGACAGGAACAGGGTCGGCAGCAGCAGACGATAGAAGCCCGCGCTACGTGGCTAGTGTGAAGTGGAGTGAGGCTGGGGGTAGTTTGGCCGTTGGACTGTCTCAGGTATATAGAAACTAGCCTGGCCTTTGGACTGTCTCAGGTATATAGAAACTAGCTTGGCCGTTGGACTGTCTCAGGTAATAATATTAATAATAATAATAATAATAATAATAATGATAGATAGCCTTTGTATAGCGCAAATCCCCGCTCAACAGCAAGCTCCGTGCGCTTCACAATCTTTACTTTTACCCCAGCAAACCTGAGAGCTTTCTGAGACAACAACATCTTCCAGGGAAGCATACAGTGCAAGCAGCCATTCATAGGCTCTAATACACTAACACACTGACAAGATCTTTCGCTATCTTTGGCTAGGTACCCATTCCCACCTGAGTGAAGTGAGGAAACCCCCGAACCGGTGACCTCACGATTACGAGTCCGGTAGCCTAACCACTGGGCCACCCACACGACGTAGAAACATAGAAACTAGCGTTGTCGTTGGGCTGTCTCAGGTACATTACACACACACATCACCACCATCACACCTAATAACAACAACAACAAAACATGACCACCTCCACCCCTCTTCCCAATCTTTTTTCTCTTCCTTGTACAGGGAATGATCCAGCTGTGGGACCCCGGGTCTCAGAAGATCAAAGCCACAGTGTCGGTGGGCGGGACCCACGTGGGCTGTCTGTGCTGGAGCGGTCACGTGGTGTACTGTGGCGCGCGCCGAGGCTACATCACGACGGTGGACGAGAGGGTGAAGAGGGCGATGGCCGTGTGGAGGCCCAGGGACAGGTTTGAGGTACGTCCAGGGAGCAACGTATAATTATATTATATACATCTGCGAGCAGTAGGCCTACACTTGATTTAAGACGAGATCGACATTCTCTTCTGGGAAGAGAATTAATTTCTCCTTCAAAAAAAAAAAAATTTCCTTCACAATTTTACAATCCATGTTTATAATATATTATTATCTTTCCTTGCTCTTTTTTTCTCTCAATATTTACACACACATTGAATTCAAGCAAAATATTTCTTGAGCACATGCAGTATAAATAAACTACGATTTTTTTATTTAAATTTTTTAAAAGTTTGGACTCATCACATCTGAGCAATTAGCTAACAATATGATTGTGTATTCTCTTCGGGTACGTCTCACAGATTCGAACCGCGGTGGACAGGTCTTGTTTGTTCGTAAACCACTGAGCTACAGCACCACTCCCCTCCCCCCAAAAAACCAACAACATCCCCACTGACCGTCTCTCTTCTCTCCCCCC